AAAAAAAAAAAAGCTTCACCCTAAAATCTTCAATGAATTCCAAGAATTTACAGAAATGGACACTACAAATTGACGGCTGGACTAACAAAAAAAGAGTGGGAGATTATGCTTGGGAGTGGTGAAAAAACGAGGTAGAAGAGGACAAACGTGGAGATAGTTAATCTGGTCTCACCGGAAAGGGGTATTTTTGCATAAGAAAAGACACCTACCCTCACCCCCACCCCCTCCCCATAAGTTAAGTTAATGCAGTCAAAATAACTTTGGGATCAATATTAGAACAGTTGGCCTATTTTTTTTTTTTTTGGCGAGGGCTGGGTTTGAACCCGCCACCTCTGGCATATGGGGCCAGCACCCTACCCTTTGAGCCACACGCCCTTTGTCCTTATTCTACGATCTGGGGTCCTTTATATCTTTCCCATCTTTGCTTACTGAGTCCTTTGTCCTCCTAGTTTTAAGGACAGGCAAATCAAGGAAACTGAGACTGGGCACACATTTTTTCTCTCTCTTCCCTCTCTCTATTTGAGATTCCTCCAGACTGAATATGCTGCTCTCTGTATAACTCAGTCTTATTTTCTGACTATCTTTTACTTGGACCAGTGAGGGTTTTGTTAATTTTTGTTTTGTTTTTAAGTTAGGCTTTTAGAGACTGCCGAGCTGAAGTTTTGCTGAATTCTCAAAACACTAAACTGCCTGTGTTCCCTCTCAGCTTTCATTTTCTAATTGGAACAAGGCATAATATTGTAACAGAAAACTGCAATTAATTTTCTAAAATAGTGGCAACTTGCATATTATAATAACTTTGGTTGTAACCAAGTGAAAGCATAATAACAAAAATACAAAATTGCTAATGAAACCAGAAATAGTCATACACCAAACTGTTCTTCCCATTTGTATCACAATAATTCTATTTTACTTAGGAATGGGGGCACAAGTCAGCCAGGAAGATTGGGGTCATGGGAGTGATGCTAGGGCATTTTGAGCCAGAAAGCAAGAATAAAGATTAATAGTACTTTCAACACAGGAATTAACAGATGTATACCCTTCCTCCCTCCCCAAGAGGTGGGGGAGTATAGGCATATAAATGGTTTAATAAGAACTAAAAAGAATCCTCATTGCATAATCCCTGCATATCCTAAAGGCACTAGGAAATTTTTTTTTTTTTTGAGACAGCCTCATTTTGTCGCCCTCAGTAGAGTGCTGTGGTGTCACAGCTAACAGCAACCTCCAACTCTTGGGCTTAGGCGATTCTTTTGCCTCAGCCTCCCGAGTAGCTGGGATTACAGCACCCGCCACAATGCCCAATTATTTTTTTTTTTTTTGCAATTTGGACAGGGCCAGGTTCGAACCCACCACCCTTGGTATAGGGGGCTGGAGTCCTACTCACTGAGCCACAGGTGCTGCCCAAGGCACTAGGAACTTATTGTTTGCTTTCCTTTTTATTGACAGAAGTGATGATCAAGGACACCTTCATTTAACTTGGGAGGGGGAGGAAACTAAGATGGAAAGCAGTTTACCTCCCCTTTCTCCATGGAATGATAATTGTGCTCTTTAAGGCAAACCCTCAAATACATAAAGGTCACTTTTATTAAAACCTTTTTGTTTGTGGCTGTGTGGTAAAACTGTATTCAAGGGTTGAATGACTGGCTGGGTACCTATAGCTCAGTGGCTAGGGTGCCAGCCACATATACAAGAGCTGGCGGGTTCGAATCCAGCCCAGGCCCACCAAACAACAATGACAACTACAACCAAAAAATAGCCAGGTGTTGTAACGGATGCCTATAGTCCCAGCTACTTGGGAGGTTGAGGCAAGAAAATTGCTTAAGCCCAAGAATTTGAGGTTACTGTGAGCTATTATGCCACAGCACTCTACCGAGGGCAACAAAGTGAAACTGTATCTCAAACAAAAAAGAGTTGAATGACTGTTACCCAGAGGGATCAATAGTTTGGAGGGCATGTTGAAAATAGAGTATCCATCCCTCTGCCCCTCTTCCTTTTCCTCTCTCCCTTCCTCTTCTTCTCTTTCCTTCTTGGCCCTACAAGTTCTGTTCAGCCAAGGATTGTCCCTGCATACACCTTCTCCCTTTAGAGCTTTAGCAATAGGTATCCTCTTCATCCTCAACAGGACCCAACTAACAGGGTAGGAAAGACCCACATCCCATGCATATCTGACTGGGCAGTAATTCTCCATGTATGGTCTCAGGGGGCTACATCAGCACCACCAGGGAACTTACTAGAAATGCAAATTCTGGCTTGGTTGAGTATGGTGGTTTATGCCTGTAATCCCAGCACTTTT